TGTTTTGTAATAATTAGTTTAATTAGCTTAGATTAGCTAGTTAGCTTATTATTCGGATCCTCCGTCGAGAGGGCGACTTTTGTAATAAGTGTGCGTATGTGTGATACATGTCTTCCAACCCCCATTTATTTCTCCCTTTTACTTATCTGCTTTCGATGGTTAGTTTAGGGGCATGTTTCAATTAGCATCTTTATGCTTGCATGCGTGCATCCATTCATCTGTCTTGCATGCATCGGGCTTGGCGCATCATATAAATTGCATTGTATTCATGTCTAATGAGTGAGCTTGTTATTCTAGCATGTGTTGACTTGGTATTAGCCCATTTTTGGTGTTATTTTGACATGCCATAACTCTGAATTTTGTTGGTGAAGCCATCTCATGCTTGGTTTTGGTAGGTGTAGTGTAATCCTCCTTATTAGCCTTGCATACTCCATGTTTTGACCCTTCATGCTAGATTGTTTTGGCTTTGCTCCATCCATATTTTAGCATTGTTTTGGCATGCTCTAGGATTGTTTTGGGTGTTCTTGGCCTTTGGGTTCATGTATTGCATAGCTATAGTGCAAGTGCCTATGCTAGTTTCAAGCTTTGAGCCTCCTAGCATACTTCATTTGTGACATGTACATGATTTGGCATCATCTACCATGTTATTTCAGAGCATATAGAATTGCCATATTCTCACTTCTTTCACTCTTTGGGTGCCTTTAAGGGTTGTGCATTATTGTCTTGTTTGTGGCCTAACTTGTATGCATGCATGCCTAGACCTTTGAGCTCCCATCTCAGCATGTTTTGGTCTTTGTTTTGATGTATTTGAGCTCTATCCATGGCTGGTTCAGTCATTTGTCCCATGTGTTGCATGCCTCTTGTGTAGCCCCTCTTGGTGGCCTTGTGCCTTAGACCCTCTTGCATGCTATACTTGTGTTGTTTGATTGATTTGACATCATTTCACACATTATTTCAGAGCATATAGTGTTATCACACTTTCATGTTTATCACTTCTTGGTCATGTTTGAAAGTTATGCTTGTATGCTTAGTTGATGGGCCATTGCATGTGCATGCATCATCTTGCCTTTCATACCATCTTTTCATGGCATTTTGGCCATTGTTTTGGGCATGATTGAGGTCTGTTCATATTCGGTTTAAGTCCATATAGCATGTTGTTTGCATGTTGTTGCATTGCATTGTGTTCGCATGTTGTTTGCATGTTGTTACATTGCATTGTTCTTTGCATGATCATGTTGCATTGCATTGTGTTTGTATGCTCATGTTGCATTAGCATTGTTTGCATGCCTTGCATTGCATTGTGTTTGGATAGGGTGTTAATCCAAACACAAGAAACGAGGGACGTTTCATACTTGGAGTGATGAAGGGTGCCTCATTTCTCGGTCGCCAACCCTCTTGATCATGCATGATAGAGGTTAAGGCTCTTATG